AAAGTGTTCAACAAAACAATTTTATTAGGTTACTCTAATAGACCAAATCCCTAACTGAAAAACGAATGTGAAAATGACAGGCAGTTGCGTCTTTGCTAAAATTAATTTAACGACAAATTTCTTTAGCTTTTTTCCCCTTTAGAGATCAAAAGAGCTGTATTTAAAGAATTATTTCACTAAAACATGAATTGAATGCCCAGTTCTTTCCCGTGTGAGTTTAGTGCGCCTCCGCCGCGTCTGCGTTTTTAAGGTTACAGGTGCACCCTGACCTGACGCGGGGACCAGATCTCTGTATTGCTTTAATTTCTCAATTTTCATAACTGCATTGCATTTTCATATGGTAAAATATCAAAATTTATGTTCTGAAAGTAGTAGGAACGACGGGAGTGTTAGTAATTAATAACAGAAAGAACTTTCACTTTTGAGTGAACTTCTGTCACGTGTAATTTTAGTATGATAAAATAAACAAAAATAGTAATGCAGAAAAGTATTTTTCGCTCTGCCAAGCCTTCTCTGTTGCTGTATAGAGAAGCAGCCTGCTCAGTCTCCTTACCCCGGCCCCACCCCGCCCACCGACTCCTGAACTTCTCACTCACTAACTCACTCACTCACGTGGGCATGCACTGCGGTCTCATGAGGAAACGCAGCTTTTTGATATGTTTTTCTTGTTCCCAAATACAAATAATTTATCAAGTATTGTTTGAAATAAGTATTCGTAAAAACACGCTATTCCTGCTTTTCCGAATACCGTATTCCGGTTCGGCTCCACCCATAATATATATATCTTTTTTTTTTTTTTTTTTTTTTTTGCATCGCACCCTCCTGCGATTCGATTTCGATGCTGAAACGATATATCGTGCAGCCCTATTACACTTGTTGTGTTACCATAGCAACTATAGTATTACCACAACAGAGTAAATAAAGTACTTAATGACAATATGTGTATTCAGTGGCCCTGTGGAACGGCTTCTTCTCAAAATGAAGAGCATGACAGAGAAAATGTCCTCCACAATCTCATCAACAATGTGGAAGACAACAGACACTAGTTCACTTTGTTTTAGTTGCCATGATAAAATGAGATTGATAATGAGATTTATTTAAAGAGTGAATAGTACAGTAGGCTATATAATACCTTATCAAGTGTTTCTATTAGTTAGATTTTTTTCTTGCGTTAGTTTTTATTTTTGTCTAAATGTTTTTTTATTTGATTAGTATGGTGCACCTTTTGGATGTTTAAAACCTTTTGGATGGAATAAATGTTTTTCAAATAAAACTTATTCTTTACATCCAACGTCTGTTCTCTGTATATTTAAGTGTTTAAAACTGGAAATATCTCATCATATAACATGCATCCAAAAATGTTATGGTTTATTAGATTAAAATTTATGTCTATTTTAGTATTTTGGTTATTGTTAATAAATAGTGTCCTAATATAATTCATATCAAAAAGCTCGAAAGGAAAAGGGATCACAAGACACAAATTGTGAGTCTGCATACAATCTCACTGAGAGAGCAGTGTACTGAGAGCACGCAAGAAAATTTGTGCGTGAGCAGTGCATATTTGAGAGATCGTGAGAATTTGTGTGCGAGCAGCGTATGTGAGAGCTTGCAAGCAGTTTTGTCCATAAATAGAGGAAATCGATGCACAAACATTATACTGAGAAAGCTGTTCATCATGCTCACTTTGTGCATGACCTTTTTGTGTTGTAAACACTTGAATGTAAAGTAAATACGATAATGGCAACAATAAGAAAAATAAACAAAATCTACATTTTGTCATGGCATTGGAGTTTACATATCGGCCTGTTGTGTCTAATATGAATATAGCCAAGCCATTCACAGATATTGCCAGATAAACACTTTACCTCTACCATACTTTTAACAGATCATTTGTGATTCTGGCTGTCATCCTTTCTTGCATTGTCTTGAGCCTTAACATTGCCAATTAAATACTATATTGTTAGTAGCCTGGAGAGGTCACAGTCATTCTGCTACATCAAATCACTTTCTACTGGATGTAAAATGCTCATTATAGAACATTCTAGAATTTTATAATGTTAAGTTCTAGTTCTGTAGTTATTTTGGTGAAAGTAACTAAAAAGTAATATAAGAGTAATGTAACATATTACAATTCTGAGACAGTAATATTGTAAGGTAAGGGATTACATTTAAATAACAGTAATAAGTAATCTGTAATGTATTAAAGTTTGGAAGAAACTTGCACAACACTGCCCAGCGCAGGGAGCACACACATCTATAATATAAAACCCCATATATAAAATTCTCCGTAAATAACTCATTATAAAATGTATTTTATGACGTCCTCAGTTAGACAGACGCTGTCCAACATTCATCCCAAATGCTCCGGAGAGAACTGAAACAAAATTTTCCCTATAGGTTTTATGACACTTAATAGGTGATTCCTTTTATTTAAAGATGTTGCTTATTATATCGTAAGTAAAGGAAAGTGTTAAGTGTTTCAGCACATAAGAGCAGCACGTAATAAAATATAGCCTATATTTTGTTGCGCTCAGCATCTATGCACTAATAAAGCTCTGTGTATTTAAAATTTCCTTTTTTAATTTTACCACGTCATATACAGTAAAAACATACACACTTGTTTGAGGACACAGATTCAGAACACATTTTGAACTTGCAGTTTTCCTCGATGCATCAAAAAAGTGCTACGCAGCTGCAGACAGAAAAAAAGGTCGCCTAGTTTCTGCTTTCACTCACCCCGAAATGCTCTGTTTGCATGATTTGATTAATATCATCGTATCCAAATACTTTATAAATAATATTTAAAACATTTTTCTGCTGTTTATTGTTTTTAGAAAATATCTAAAATCTTTTTTTTTTCAGAAAGGCTTTTGAAAAATGAAAGTTTAATATGGCTTTTTTAATATTAAGTTTAATATGGCAGTTTGTTTTAGTACCTAATTGTTATAGCTTTTGTTAGTTTTAAATTGGTTTATTTATTTAATGTGATTTTATTATATCTGACATTTGTAATTCTTTAAATTATTTCAATATAGCTAGGCTATTTTATCTAGATATGACTATTGTTTTGAGCCTACAAAAGTGGACACAAAATTTGTAAAGTTTAATGTCTTTCTGTTGTATTCATATTGTGTATTATCTCCAAAATAAATAAAAACATCAAAAAAGAAAAGAAAAAAGCCGCGCGGCATAAACAGAGCTGTGAAGGGAGCGCTCTTTTCCTCGGTCTCACACACACATACAGGCATCTAAACGCGCACAAACACACCTTTTAAACTTGACAAAAACTCTCGAAAACCTTTACTGTCTGCTGTGTCTTTAATATGGTGTAAAGATTATTATGTGTTATTGAAACAGGAGGATGCAGCAAAGTCACTTATAAATTAAAACTACTTTATTATTTTTATGCAACAGCCTTACATTTAAAAGAGAAACATAAAGGTGATCATACAAAAAGACCCCAGCCTATAATTTGTTCCAGATGTTTTCTTTTCCTTATTTATTTGTTTGTTTATGTATTTATGCGCATGTACTCATGTGCGAACAGAAAACTGCCTGCCTCTCCTTTCACTCCGCCCCGAAGCCCCGACTGGCCCTCTTTGGCCCAAGGTATTCGGCGGGCCGAAAAAGGCTGGCCACTAGCACCAAGAAAGCCCCAATTTGGCCCGATTAGGCCCCGGAAGTGACAGTGGAAACGCGACTGGCCTTGGCTCGCCCTGGCTCGCTCGCTTTAGGCACGATAGTGGAAACTCAGCTAATGGGGCTGTAGACATTAGGCAGTAAGGCTAGGTAGATCTGAGTGTCATCAGCATAGCTGTGGTAGGAGATTTGGTTCTTTCTCATTATTTTGCTCAGAGGGAGCATGTAAAGGTTGAACAGGAGAGGTGCCAGAATCGAGCCTTGTGGGACTCCACATGTCATGGGTGTCCACCTCGACCTATGGTCACATATACTGACATGGTAACCTCTACCTTCAGGGTAAGATCTAAACCATTTGAGGACCGTGCCAGACAGCCCAACCCAGTTTTCCAGCCTATCCAGAAGTATGCTGTGATCGACAGTGTCAAATGCAGCACTGAGATCGAGCAGTACCAGCACTGTTATTTTACCTGAATCTGTGTTTAGGCGGATATCATTGATTATCTTTATAAGAGCGCTCTCTGTACTGTGATATGCTCTAAAACCAGATTGAAAATTGTCTAAACACCCCCTGAAGTTTAAGAACTTGTTAACCTGGTTAAAAACAACTTTTTCAATGACTTTGCCAATGAAAGGAAGATTTGAGATTAACCTGTAATTGCTCAATAGTTATCAAGGTTGCTCTTCTTCAAGAGGGGTTTAACAACTGCAGTTTTAAGTGAGTTTGGAAAAATGCCTGAAAGAATTGAAGCATTTACCACTTTTAGAAGATCCATTTCTAAACCGGTAAACACCGTTTTGAAGAATGATGTGGGGAGCGTGTCAAGACTGCAGGTTGATGTTTTCATAACTTGCACAGTCTCTTCTAAGATTTTACCATTAATTGCCATGAAATCAGACATAATGTCTGATTTCTTAAGTTGTGGTTGAGCTAGTTTGACTTCGACACAACTTGGCTGATTGGATGAGCTGATTGCCTTTCTGATATTATTGATCTTATCAGTAAAGAAATGAGCAAACTCATTACATTTGCTTTCAGAGAAGAGCTCACTTTAAATCCGACTGGGGGGGTTTGTGAGTCTCTCTATCGTTGCAAAGAGTGTGCGAGCATTATTTAAGTTGTTGTTTATAAGGCTTGAAAAGAAAGTCTGCCTAGCAGTGTTTAGTTCCATATTAAAAGCATGAAGACTGTCTTTATAGATACTATAATGGACTACTAGTTTCGTCTTTCTCCACATACGCTCAGCTTTTCTGCACTAGTTGCGCTCAAGATCACTAATGAACCTTCACTTTGTTTTCAATTGGTGATTATTAAACTTTTGATCATTTCGATTTACTGATAATGATTTGTCTTAACACAGATGAAGCAGTCAAATGTCTGAATGAAAGCGAGAATGTCTTAAAGCAGTATACTAAAGACATTCCCACTGATTGTGAGGCTTCAACAGTGTGTCTCAGAGATATTAAAAACAGAGCAATTGACATCAGCCAGCAGTTGACCAGGTAAAAGCACTTTACCTTTCATATATTCACTGTGCAAGTCTTTATTTTGAATTGTAACCGATGATGTGGTTGATTTCAGGGGATTTTCAGATCTTATGGAGGTTTCTTCGTTAGTAAGCCGGGAGACAGTTTTAGTTCAGCAGTCACTGGAGGAAGAGCAGATTGGAGAGAGCACAGCACATACACTCTTCTGTCCTGCCACCTCATGAAATGCTGTATGAATATTGCATGTGTTGTTCAACTAAAATTAAAAAAATATCATTGTATTGTAAATAATATTGAATGGATTGCAGAGTGATTTGAGGAATTTGTGTTGTGTTATTTGAAAGTGTTGAAAGGGTTTATTGTTGTCTGTTTGCAGTGCATCCAGAAAGTATTCATAGCGCTTCACTTTTTCCACACGTTTTATGTTACAGCCTTATTCCCTTTATTCAATTATTTCTTCAAAATTCTACATACAATACCCCATAATGACAATGTGAAAAAAAGATTTTTTGAAATTGTTGCAAATTTATAAAATTTAAAAAACCTGAAAAATCATATGTACATCAGTATTCACAGCTTTTGTTCAATACTTTGTTGATGCACCTTTGACTGCAATTACAGCTTCAAGTCTTTTTGAGTATGATGCCACAAGCTTGAAATTTTTGCCCATTCCTCTTTGCAGTACCTCTTAAGCTCTATCAGGTAATTGACGGTTTACAGCCATTTTCAGACCTCTCCAGAGATGTTCAATAGGATTTAGGTCTGGGCTCTGGCTGGGGCACTCAGCCAGGACATTCACAGAGTTGTTGTGAAGCCACTCCATTAATATTTTGGTGGTGTACTTTGTGACATTGTCCTGCTGGAAGATGAACCGTCGCCCCAGTCTGAGGTCAAGAGCACTCTGAAGCATGTTTTCATTCAGGATGTCTCTGTACATTGCTGCATTCATCTTTCCCTTTATTCTGACTAGTCTTCCGGTTCCTGCTGCTGAAAAACATCCCCACGGCATGATGCTGCCACCACCATGCTTCTACTGTAGGGATGGTATTAGCCTGGTGATGAGCGGTGCCTGGTTTTCTCCAAACATAACGCATTCACTTTAAAGAGTTTAATTTTAGTCTCATCAGACCAGAGAATTTTGTTTCTTATGGTCTGAGGGTCCTTCAGATGTCTTTTGGCAAAGTCCACGCAGCCAGTGGCTTCCGTCTGGCCACTCAACCATACAGGCCTGATCGGTGGATTGCTTCACAGATGGCTGTCCTTCGGTTCTTCTCTTTCAACAGAAGAACGATAGAGCTCAGACAAGATCACCATCAGGTTATTGAACAGCTCCCTGGCTAAGGGCTTTCTCCCCTGATCACTCCGCTTAAATGGCTGGCCCGCTCTAGGAAGAGTCGTGGTGGTTCCAAACATCTTCCACTTCTGGATGGTGGAGGCCACTGTGCTTATTGAAAATTTCAGAGCAGCAGAAATTTTTCAGGAACCTTCCCAGCCTTGTGCCTCGAGACGATCCTTTCTTGGAGGTCTACAGACAATTTATTTGTCTTCTTGGTTTGTGCTTTGACATGCACTGTCAACCCTGGGACCTTATATAGACAAGTGCATGCCTTTTCAAATCATGTCCAATCAACTGAATTTACCACAGGTGAACAATGAAGCTACTTAAATGTCTCTAGAATAATCAGTAGAAACAATGTACCTGAGCTCAATTTAGAGCTTCATGGCAAAGTGAATACTTATGTTCATGAGATTTTTTTTCAGGTGTTTTATTTGTATAATGAAAATTGAGTTGAATCCATTTTGGAAAAAGGCTGTAACATAAATAAATGTGTAAAAAGTGAAGGGTTGAATACTTTTGGGATGCACTGTATGTTCTGGACATCTAGGGTTTTTAGGGTTAAAATTTTTTTAATTACGATGATTAAACCTTAATTATGTGTTTGCGTGCATGCGTGCGTGTCTGTCTGTCTGTCTGTCTGTAGGTTGAGTGATATATCTGAAACCATGGGCAAGTTTTTTAACCTTAACTTGTCAATAAATGACTTAGGAAATTAATTGTGTAAAATGCTCTGGATGCTTTCAATGGTTAAAAGCATGGCTTACCCCTAAAACTATGTTTGATTAATTGTTACTAATTAAACAAACTGCCGGGCCATTTTAAACTTGTTTTTTTATAGTAAGCATTAAGTATATTTTTTGCAGATTTTTAGCTGTAGTTATGTGTCAGACTCAAAGAGCTGGTTGACTTTTTTATGATACACTAAAGATAATGGTTTCAGTGAAGACATTTATGTCCTTTAATTATTTTTTAGAGTTTATATTTCACGAAAAAGAAAAAGTTACCAACAGCTTGCTGGCAGTAAGTTACATTTTTAGTGAACAATCTCTTTAAGTTGGTCGCAGATACTGTTTGTTTTTCTTTTTTCTATAAATTTATACCCTATTTTGAAAATATATTCTGGACATTACATGTATCATTTTATTTTGAATTGTCAAAATGGTTTTCTAACCAAGAAAAATAAACCCGTTAATTGTATCTGCTGCTTTTGAGTTGCAACATTGTAGTTTACATGACTTTATGATGTAGCCATCTTTTTTGTCTATTAATAAAATTTGGAAATGAATTTTTTTAAAAAAAATTTTACAGTATTTTTTATTTTTTTATTTTTAATTACAGTACAGTATGGAACAATGGGAAACATTAATCTGGAGTCGCTACAGCAGAATGAACCGCCAACCTATCCAGCACGTTTTTATCCACACACACTTGTCTTTGGACTGGGTGGGGAAGGATTTTTCCAGTTTAGTGTTATGAGCCTTTTAGCAATTATTAAACAAAAGGCAAGTGCATTTGATTGTGTAGATGACAAAGAAACATTTGTAGGGTTAAGTCCAAATAATGCTACTAGGGGGCATGGCTCAATATCTAAAAGAAAGCATTCAGTAATTGATTTAAAAATTGATGCCCAAAAAGTGCTTCGCGCTGGACAAAGCCAGAAAGTATGAAGAAGAGTGGCTGGAGCTTCTCGACACTGATCACAAGTTGGATCAAAACCAGGGTTCATTTTAGATATTTTTGCCTTATCCAATATACTCTATGCAATAATTTGAATTGTATAAGGGAATGACGAGCACAAATAGAAGAGGTTTGTACACGAGACAGAGCCTTGGACCATTCCTCGTCTGTGAAAACATAATTGAAATCTGATTCCCAGCTCTGCTTTATTTTAAAAAAGGATGAGGAATCTAACTGTCTAATAAATGAAATTTTTTTAAAATAAATTTTAGAGACTGCACCTTTACAAAGTTTTGTCTCTAAAACCTGATCGATTTTTTGTTTGGGAGGTGCAAGGGGAAAATGGGAAAATGTATTTCGTATAAATTTGCGTGTCTGAAGCTATTGAAAAAAATGGGTTTTGGGAAGGTTAAATTTTTCTGATAAATAGGAAAATGTAACAAATGTATCATCACAAAAAGGTCATTAATGCTTACAATGCCATTTCTAAACCATAATACAAAATATTGGTCTGAGATAGAGGGCAGGAAAGAAGGGTTTTTATTAGAGTTGGGCATCTAAGCTATAATGCCGATCCGATATGCATCTCCAAACAAAGAATACGATCCGATATATTAGCGATACATTTGTGACATATTGCGATGCAACACGATACGATTCACACCCATATCACGATACGATGCGATATTTCAGCACTAACTAATTAGATCAAGTTTATGAGATGATGTGAAAGAGGATGCTGTGCCATTGAATGAGTTTGATTATTTATTAACCAAGCAAAACCAAGACTTTTTTTACAAACTGGCTCTTCTCTCAGAGCCAGTGTGTCAGTTTACAGTAGAGGGCCATTTTAGAACATATAGCACATATTATTTAAGTATTTTCAAGATAAACAGAATGTATAAGTGCAATAGCTATATATTAAATATATATATATATATATATATATATATATATATATATATATATATATATATATATATATATATATATATATATATATTTGCACTCTTTCAACATAAAGATTTACATTGCACAACAAGAATTGTGATTTAACTTTTCAACTATGAAAGCAAGTTTTACAAAGATATTTTGCCACTGATTATTCAAAACTTAAGGTTGTGAACTAGCAGTGTTATGCTGCTTTGAAACATCACTGTCACTGTAAACAACAGGCTAATAAAAATATAACAAACCAGCAATCTTCTTGCTGTGAGGTGGTCAAACTACCCACTGTGCCACCGTGACACCCATTATTTTTATCATTATTATTATTATTATAATTAAATAAAAATTAACAGGAGGTGTTTAAAACCTTCGTTCTCCGTGACACTAGGCTGAATATCTTTGCAGATGAACAATGCAATAGCATTCGTTATTGGCGTAGAGCGCACAAAACTGTTGCGCACGGAAAAAAAAAAAACTTGCAATGCTTTTCTGACCACTTTTGGAGCTGGTTGAAGCAGTGCGAAAGCCGGGGATGCAGGAACGCTGGAAGATGCTTTCACAACAACACCGTGGCGCCGCTTCAAGTGAGATTTTAGATTAGTCATACTGCCCGCGTATTTTACAGATGCGCGGCACATTTTGCAAATTGCATCTGTCCTGTCATGTCGTCCATCCTTAAATCCATAATGTTGCTTGCCATACTTTATATTTAAAACTCAGTGAGGAATAAAATGTTTGTTTTGCTTCTCGCGCTTTCTGAGGGCGCTCCACTTCATCAGCACACCTGATACACTGAGTTGTAGTGTGTGTACACATCCGCAAATCCGTTGCTAAGGCTTACTTTATGTAGGTCGATTAAATTATGCGCCAAAAACAGGTTGACAACACTTGTTAATAAATAAAAAATACATTCTATATTAAAAATATAAGCTGTATCTCGGAAAAATCGATGCATCTCGCAAAAACCGATGCATCTCGATTTGCTTCCAAAATTTCATTCATCCTCTGCTGCTCAACCGATGCACTCGCATCGTGCACGCGCATGACCGCGTATCGATACATATTGATAAATCTTCCCATCCCTAGTTTTTATATATGGGGGACAGACTAGATATTGTTTAAAAGCCAAAATGTTTTCTAAATTGTAACCAAATTCGAAGACTATTAAGTACTATAGGGTTAGAGGAGTAGTTTGATGTCTTGAATGGTAATGAAGAGCATAGTAACGCATGCAAAGATACTTGGGTGCAAGAATCGCATTCCATTTCAACCCATGCTGGAACCCAGTGGCAGAGTCCGTAGTGTGACTGGCTCCAATATAAAATACTGTGGATGTTAGTCGCCCAATA